CTTCACGCAGTCACAGTCACACCCACASCCATACGTATACTATGATGTAGCTAATATTAGCTATACACATAGTTACGAGTATAATGTAATAAATGACTAATGAAAAATATAATTKTCAAGTCAAAAAATACGGTGATAACAGATTAAATGTATTTAAAATGCCTACAAATTACTCTTTTAACAATGCTACCTAATCACGTATATATTACGACAGTCATCTTATGAAATTCACGATTTAATTGTTATAATGATTTATTTTAACAACAAAATTTAAGAAGCTTGTATTGAAAATGTACTTTACTAAATGCTTAGTATAGTTATAAAATCTCCCTTTTAAATAATTTAGTATATTAAATATTAATTATGTATGCAGTARATAAAGTGTATCAATGTTTATCTTATTTAATATACGGGAAAATTAAGTTCCTTTTGAAAATCCGTCTATTATATTTAGGTTCKATAACAAACTGATATGCCTAATTAAGATCGAGTACCTACCGGTATAAAAGCTTTTTGGGAGTAAATTGAACGAACGGGAGGTTAATAACCTAACCTTGCGAGAGCGATGGACGAGCTGTTCGAAGAGATATACGCTTGGCCGTGGTACGGCGTGAGYACTCTTTGCCGATTCGCAACAGCTTGCGGGACTCAGACAACGATTCTTTGGTCTAGGACTTGGACTCTAATGAATTCCGACCCCCCTCGCCGGATGTGCGCCTTCTAGAAAAGCCAAATGCATAAATTGTTACAGTAGACACTAGACACTATCTATTATTTCCAAGGGAGAAAAAATTACCCAGACGAACATAAGACTGATGAGAACTCTGATCCGTTAATAGCGTTCGATGAGCGAATGAACAGTTAATTTAGTTTGGAATCATCATAGTCTGAGCTACTGTGGACTTGGAGTAGAGAGCTTTTATCGGACTAGGAATCAAATTATCCAGCATCGGACAGGAGAGTCTAAAGCCAATTTGGAACATAGGCGTGCGCACAGGGGGGCCGGGTGGACCGCGGCCCCCTGCGGCCTCTGGCTTTTTCTTTAATAAATGCATATAGATATGTGTATATTATACTAGACAGCGAACATTTTTAGATTTTACAAAAAAAAAGTGAAGCCAGTTTTAATCTAATAGTATAAATAAGGGTATAAATAAAACATAAATGTGATTAAGTTATTATTTTATCAATTAATTAATTATCATCACACAAGAATAAAAGTGATTTAATTTTAAATTCATTAATCGTTAAAATATGTGACATAATATAAACAGCATTATATATAATTACGAATAAAAAAGTAATTTAATAATAATTGAATTAATTTAATTGAAAGCATTTTAATATATTAATTATATATTATAGTAATATATATTTAAATTATAAATTTATAAATATTTAATATTATAACATCAATTATATGGTAATACAAACTATAGTAACGAGTAATGTACATAATTGTTTAGGTACTGCTAATAGTGATAACTGATTAGTGGTTATTATAACCATTTTATACCAAATACTGAGGTTTTTATAAGCACTTAAGTGCCATATAGATACGGAAACCGATACTTATAAATTATAAACTCATATCAGTAATAATATACGAGTCACTATTACTAAATTGTTAAAATTAGACTAATATACTTAATAGCTTGCTTACTAATTAACGATTAGACATGATCAATTTTTTTTATTATTAATCACTACTCAACGCTAATATAATAATATAGTTTATATTACTCTACAGGGTAATTCACCAAGCAAACTCATCTACCTTTTCTTCTAAAATAATGAAGTTATTCAAAATCTAATCTTAGGAAATTTTAAATATACTTAAAGACCATGTTTGCAAATTCTTTAGGTTTTTTTATACATGTAGTGTCTTATTTTTTTTCAAATAAGACCCCTCCTTTTTTCAACTGTAAATTATTCAGTGGATAATTTTTCTGAAAAATTTGAGTAGTTTTTGAGTTATTTAACTTTATGTTTAAAGATTCGTAAGATATGGAGGCTATAGAGRTTTARATATTTTAGTTATTAATATTAATCTCTCTATTTAAATAATTTATAAAAATGGCCTAAGCATGATAAAATAAATACTAGTTCCAATATTACGTCAATTTGATATGTTTGCAAAACCATTTTTACGTAGATAGATACTATTATCCTTAGTTATTTTAATAGCTAAAAAAATACTTATTTAAATTATTAATTGGGCACATCAACATTTTCAAAAAAAAACATCTACTAAAAAATTTACAGTAAAAAAAGGGGGGGGTGTCATTTGAAAAACAGAAATTCGTATTGACACAGGACAATCTTTAAGTAGTACTGAAAAATCTCAGGATTTAAAAATATGGTATTTAATTATATTTAAATATTTAAAAAATCAGAATTTTAATGAATTTATCATTAAAGAAAAAATTGGTGGTGAGCATTTGGTTGGTGAATCACCTTAAGTTRTACTAAAGTTGTCATCGGGCGACCGATAATTTGTTGTGAATTATTTTTTAAATTATAAACTAGCTGATTCAAATGACGCATAATAATATTTCTCCGTAAACTAGGTATTCGACTTAAGTTTTTCAAATAATATATCAATTTATGAACTCGTTAGTCGTTAGTCGTTTTGAGCGACCAGTTCCCAGTAATTTTTTCAGCATTGAATTGTATGCAAAATATTAGGTTATTAAATGGGTTGGTTATTACTTATAAATTATTTATTTAATAAGTAGATAAATCAATAACTAGCAAGACAAAAAAAAGAAAAAAAGCAATGACACTGTACGTTTTATCTTTTAGTTTATTGTATATTAAAACATGATTCAATATTACAATAGATTTAAAGTTAAAATGCAGTCCAAAGGTATAAATTCGTACACATATAGATATTAATATTAATAATAATAATAATAATAATAATAATAATAATAATAATAAATATATTATTAAATTAATAATCCTAAGTCATAATCACAGTAGATAAACAATTAATAAAGAAACGTTTTGAGAATAAGACTATGTTCGAAAAAAATTCAAACATTTTTACCATGTACTCTTAACATGTAATAATTCAAGTACAATGTTTAAACTATACATTTAACTAAGTAAATAATTGTTGTTTTATTTTTCTCGAATGCCTAATACATTCTGTATCTACTATATCTATATTCTTATACTCCTATATTTATATTTAATTATAATATCGTAATAATTATTAGTCATAGTATATATTTATATCTTATACCTAGTAACAACTATAAATTAATGGCAGTATAAGTCTGAATTAAAGAGCCGGTATTCAATTCACAATAACATCACTCAATCTATATTATAGGCATAAAATATTTAAAACGATCAATTTTGTCTTATATATTTTTTTGTAYGTTAAAACTTAAAATGCAATATTTAGGTATTGACTGTCACTATAAGAATAAAATGAATATTTATACAGCTGGAAGACAGATATCAAATTAAAATGATTATTTTAATGTTTAACATGTAGATTGTGATTATTATTTACTTGATTTAGGCCGCTTTATTGATAATAAAAAAATATCGATAGTAACAATAAATTAATAACACCGTTGTTCTCAGTCATTTGTCAAATAATTAAATTATAAATAATAAATTCATTTGTTTAATAAGTTTAGTAAGTGCAATCAAACTCTGACAATATTAAGTACCTAATTAAATTTATTTGTATGTGTATACAATGTTGATTGTTATAAGAAGTTAATTTCATAGAAAGTGCTGGCGTATTTAAATTTAAAAATATGGTGTTGGTATGATGTTTAGTTTATTTTTTATTAAAAATTAAATTAAATAAGTATGACAAATTCAAATACCTGATATAATATATTATATATAATATAATAAGGCAGGTATAGAATCATTTCGATAATTGTTTGTACACATTTCACTTGTTTTGACGGTGAGATGAAAAAATAAAACACTAAATGAAAAATATTTTATRATTTTGTTGAATTGTTTGGAAATATTTTGATTTATCATTAACATTATTATGTTTATAGATTTAATATATTATTATGTTCAGTACCGATTTTTCATTCATATTAATTAGTTTTCTGTAATAATTTGATTTATGATATGATCTTATGATTATTAGGTATTATATTTTTATTTAAATTTTTAAATAACATTAGCATTATTATTTTATATTTAAGTTCAATGACTTGTTTATATCTTTAAAAATTGAGAAAATTTAAAATAGGCACTTATTTTAATTTCAAAATTTTTCTAATTAATTAATAGTAAAAAAGTGGTTATAAATTATAAAAGCTACAAAGTACATTGTTTAATGTTCATTGTTTGGCTGTAGTTCTGTATACGTCTTATTTTATATTATTATTTAAACTTTTCGTTATATTAGATTGTATTTTAGCGCAAAATAAAATAAAATACCATTGCTTACTTTGGTAATTACAAATTTGCTGAAATAGCGTAACACCAACTATTTTAAGAATGTCCCACAGTGAACAATAAACTCAAAGACTTATGGTTATTTTAAAAAAAAAAAAACAAAAACGTTACAATAAATTCCATGACAGTATGCCACTTAACGATTATTGTAAAAGATGTTATGTTTACATATCTCCTCTAAATGGTCGAGTACATAACTGCTAATACAACGTTAAAAATAGTGGAGTCGAATATTAATTGCTTTAATATACTTTATCCGCAATAAAGTCCCGAATAACCAATTTATTTGAACAACTTATATTCAGTTTTTAATATGGATACTATACCTAATAATATCTATTTAAATAAATTTAAGTAACTTATGTAACATATATAGGGATATTATAGTTGGATACTGAAAATGCATAATTACATAATATTATATATAAACAACGAGCTAGAAAAAACACCACAATATCAAATAAATAATGTACCTACTTCCGTACAATTGACGTTCGAATACTATATAATATACATAAGTGACTAGTTGTAATATACACAAATCTACAACGATATTGAAGAATTCTTATTATTGGACGCACATATCCTAAAACCAAATATATTTGAATAACTACCTTCTACCTAGTATATACTCGGTTTTTAAATAATTTTAAAAACTAAAATCTTGAAATATTAATTTTTTTCAAACTCATCACTAATTATACCTCATCACTAAATAGTCCACACCTGTACTTTTTMGGCGATAACGCACCAATTTGATTGGTCGTAATATGAAGAAATTATGTGCAAATTATCAGCGTGTTTCTCGATCAGCTGGTCGAGTTCACCTTCTCTGAACACGTGATAGTATCTGTGGAATGTTATAGACCCTCCACCGTGCTCTGAAAGTGATTCTTGCGAGGTGGATAAGCTACACGTATCGTCACTCTTGGATGTTTCTTGGGTTTCGACGGCTGCGTGTTGGCGGACCAGAACGGCGGCCCGCCTAGGGTCCGTCTCCTCGGACGACGACCGGCCGTCGCACCGCGCCTGTCTACGGTCTGCAAACCTTGTATCCTTGCTGCAGTCACTCCACGATGTTAGCGAAGTCGTGCTCTGCGTAGTAGTGTGCGTATCCGCAGTGTCGTTGGATTCAAGTGAGTTACCAGGTCGAAGCAGTGATACTTGGCTGCTGGAAACCGTATCACGCCTCGAGTCACACTCCAACTCTAGGGACGCATGCCGGTCTTCCGCTGAGTCCACGGACTTGCGGTAGAGTCGTGATCGGAATCCCTCGCGACTCCGCAGCACTTTATCCACAGAGTCCTGCGTTTCAACGGAAATACTGGGCCGACGAGGTGCTTCGGACCCGGCTAGTATCTCGATCCGATGGTAGTCGTGTGGTTCGTCCTCAAGCTGTCCGTCGGAAGATGATGGGTCCGACAATATTTCATCAGGTCGCATCAGCTGGTGAAAGTATTGCATTAGCTCGACCTTTTCCGGTGGCTCTGCTACTTCATCGTGAGAATTTTTTGGATCTTCTTGTGGCTCCATGCTTATGGCGGCCCGCAGCTCTTTATTTAATCTTTATTTTTCAACATAATAAAATCATTAATGCTTTAAACAATAACTTTGACATAAAATAGAGAAGTAGAAGAATTCGTAAAAACTTACCTTTCAGCGAAGTCCACAAGATGTTTTTGACATTCCTCGTCCCACGTTTCTGGCAAATCTGAGAGCTCATCTTTAGAACACTTACTGGCCCTCTTGTGTTTTGGTATTGAACCGAGGCTTGGGCTGATTCGAACTGCCATCCCTTTGTTCGGATGTTCTTGCAGACTCCATCGGTTAGTATGATTTGGTTGATCTTCTTTAGTGTTATGGTCTTCATTTGGACTAGGATCATTTTTAGGAATATGATCTTCTTTACTGCTGGGATCTTCTTCAGGAGTGGGATCTTCTTTAGGGCTGGGTTCTTCTTTAGGTCTGAGATCATTTTTAGGGCTAGGACTTTTTATTGGACTAGGGTCTTCTTTAGGATTGGGATCATTTTTAGGGCTAGGACTTTTTATTGAACTAGGATATTCTTTAGGGGTGGAATCTTCATCAGGGTTAGAATCTTTTTTAATTATGTCTGAATCTGAAGAACAAATTTGTTCTAGATTRTCATGTTCTATCAAAATTTCATCCTCGGGTTTCACTGGTGTTTCTACGTCAAAGGGTTCGTCAAACTCGATATCTATAAACATGTACAAGGTTATGTACTTAGGTGTTATATTTATGAATTAAACTTCTCATACATTGGAATATAGCATAGAAAAAATTATATTACTGATATAAATTTTTTTGAAGAAGAACCGATAAGGAAAAGATGCCAAAGAAGGCTATGACTTAGGTATGGYGATTATTGGATAACAAAATATTTTAAGCCCAGAAATACAACAGGGGAAAAAAGAAATAGGTGGTAGTAAATTTATTTGGAGGGGTAATATTAATTGTTTTAAAAATGGATATGAAATATTATTGTTATATAAATAAGAACTTTTAATTACACACTATGCATTAATCACCTGTAATTTTGCGTTCATCTTCCACCACTACACTTATGACACTGCTAACGGAATCAGAAGACGATGATTCAACATCACTATCTATATCGTCTATTTCTGGATGAAATGTTTCTTCAACTGTTTTAATAAAGTGTCTTCCACGTAAACCAGAAAAAGTTCGATCAGCTTTTGGTAGACGATTACGTGCTGTTACTAAAAAATAACAATTTTTTTTATAAGTTAATACTGTCAAAAATATATTTGATTAGACAATACCGGGTTTAGTATTCAAAAGAAGATCTTGAATTTGTTTAAGCTTTTCTGCACTTATTCTTTCTTTAGGCCGTGCATTATGATCTCCTCCTTCACAAACATGATCTCTACGTTCTAATTCTTGATCTTTTTCTTGCTCCCGTTTAAGCTTCATTTCTATTGCTGTTTTCACAGGTGATAATTTAATAGGCTTCAAAACATCGTCTACCTGTTGTTCTGTTGATAAATTTAACTGATATGGTTCATTTCCATTTTGTGAGTTGAACCTGGCTGGCAATCTAAAATGTGACGGGTGAATAGGGGCTGTTTTCGGCGTGTTGGGATGTGAAGACGATCTGTATTGACTTTGAGATTTAGCAGTGGGTGTGCATGGAGCTGTTCGTGCTTGTTGCTCCACTAATGGTGGTGAACATGTCTTATCAGACCCACCAGTCGCATTCACAAATATAACAGACGCTAAGCTACTTAGACTATCTTCAGAATCAACACTAGCATCACTCTGTAAACTATCTTTTGACGAATCTTCCGAAGAACCATCTTCACGGGAACTTCTACGTCCGTCACAACACGTCGTTGTAACCAATGCGGGAACGGGCATTTTTTCTATTTTTTTTTCATCACTAACCTTTTCTTCACAACCTTCCTTATACCCTAACATTCTACTTAGTCCACTTTTTATGTTATCAGACACCTGACTGGATGGGTTTTTAAACGTTTTCGTGAAGCCAGTTTTGAGCAATTGTAAWGTATCTTTAATGGATTCCAACGTACGTGTGCTGTACATAAGCTCTTCATTTAAAGACGCTTGTCTTTGAATGTTTTTTTGGACGATTTCTTTTTCCTTAAGTCTTTCTACAGACATAAGTTCTTCATTCATTGATCTTTGTTTTATTTCATTACTTTTATATCTGTATCTTTTTGAACCACTGCCTACGTCAAATTGAGGTAACTTATTAACTAAATCTTTCATGTCAGTAGCCTTATCTCTATCTTCTTCTGCATCCTCATCACATAGCGATTGTTTTTGTTTAACTAATTTTGGTTTTGAATGAGTTAATGGCATTGATTTTTCCAATTCTGGTATACTTGACCTTGATCGTACCATTCGTTTTTCCGCGGTGTTTTTTATATCGGTTAAACTCTTAGATTTGTGAGTAGGTGTTCGATTGAATAGCGTTATTGAGTCTGGCGAATCTTCCATACGTCTAAGTTCTATAGGAACATTTAACACATCTTCGTTGCAAGTCTCACACCCTTCAGGATCTGAACGTAATACTGACGGTAACTCAGTACCGTAAAGTGATGTCCAAGAACCAACGAACCAAGGTTTTGATGATACTTTACCTCGCTTGGTTGAACCGGCAAGCTTCTGTAACAAAGCGAATCTATGTTAAACGCAAACATGAAAATTTTATATTAAATTATATAATAACAATTAACCTGTATTGCTTTCCGAACAAAGCTATAACAAGTTTCAGTCCCTGGACTCGATAAACTAGAACTACTCGGGGAACTCTTTATTCCTTTTCTCCAATTTGATTGTTCCTTACGCTTAGTTTTTCTTTCACAACACATTTTGATACTCCTGTATGTATTAATGATATTTAAATCTTTTATGCATCAACTATAATATATGAAATTTAAGTAAATAAATACGAACGTTGTTGAATCGGAATTAGATTTTTTTCTCGTGCTAATATATTCCTCATCAGATGTGGTCGTGGTTGTGGAAAATTCTGTTGATTCGCTTTCTAAATTTCTACAAGGCTTGTGCCAAGGCATTAGCACGTCTTGAGATTGAAACTACGAAAATCAAACAATATTTTATGCAATAATCTAAATTTAAAAATTCATTTTAAATACTTTTCTATGGCGTCGTTCCATGGCCCAAACTGTAATTATTATACGACCACCAATTCTAAGTACCCTAGCTAGTTCTCGTAAGGCACACACACGTCTTTCTGTTGTCGAAAAATGATGAATAACTGCTATGGATAATACAGCATCTAAACTACAGTCTTTGAATGGTAAAGTTAGATTGTCACACACCAATACCTGTATTTGAATAAATTGATAATTAAGTATTTAATATTTATAATTTATTGATTTTAATTAAAATTAAATACTACGATAATTCAGTAAGTTTTATTTTTCATAGTATATATATAGTATTATATTTCATAGTAATTATGAGTCTATATAATTAAAACATTTACTTCGCTGTCTCGACTTCTAGCTATTTCAGTTAATCTCAAGCAGCGATCAACGCCTACTTTGAACACATGCGGGTTAGTCGACAAATATTTTCCCGTACCACAACCTAAAATTTAAAACAACATTTACAACTTTGATATTAAATATTAATAAATAATATTGAATTTCATAACGCAATTGTAATAATTATTGTGAATAATATTAATCTCAAAGTAATATTAAATTATTAATGTTGTATATCAGAATTTTAGATTATGAATTAATACACACGACTCAGTGTATCTATGAAATAAGCGTGCAAAAATACTACTTAATTTATGCCCAAAATATGAAATAAACCAATTTAGTAAATCTATAGAACCCTGGAAAAAGGTTTCAATCAAGAAAAAAAATATAAAGATATTATATAGGGTGATTGATTTATCATAAAACACTCATTATTTCAAAAAGTATTGACTTTTTACAAAATATTTTTTTACATGGTTTCAAGTTCTTAAAAACCCAACGTTTTTATTAAAAAATTATATTTTTTATCCTTATCATTTTTTATGTTTTTTTACTTTTTTGAGTGACAACTTAGAGTTTTAATTTCATATTCCAAAGCAGAATATTTTTCTAAGTATTTTGATACATAGAAATCRAATTTGGGGCTAGTAGTTTATGAGTTATAAGTATTTAAAGWTTAGATTGGCAGAGTGGAGTGGTACGGGGTTACCCCACAAAATGTTTGTCCACTACTCCGCTTGTCTAATCTTTAAATACTTATAACTCATAAACTACTAGCCCCAAATTTGATTTCTATGTATCAAAATACTTAGAAAAATATTCTGCTTTGTAATATGAAATTAAAACTCTATGTTGTCATTCAAAAAAGTAAAAAAGTAAAAAATGATAAGGATAAAAAATATTTAAAAATATAACTTTTTAATAAAAACGTTGGTTTTTTAACAACTTGAAACCATGTAAAAAAATATTTTGAAAAAAGTCAATACTTTTTGAAATAATGAGTGTTTTATGATAAATCAATCACGCTGTATTACGGAGAAGTTATGTACAGATTAAGTTTTTAATCTAACATAATTCATCGAAATTGGTTTCAATACAAATAAAATTACAGGAATAGCTTTTCCAAATTATCCACAGCCTACTGTACGGTAAACCATAACATAATGCTTTTGACATTTTATAAGACGACCAAGGACAAAATTTGTAAAGTTCATAGAAAAACAACTTAGCAACTGAAAATTTTTTGTAACATTCCATGAAAAATCCARCAACTGGAGAATCTCAAAAATGGATTACTGTCCTTTACTGAAGGAGTACATCCACTGGAATTTAATTTTTCACGGACAACATCGTTCAGGATCATGATTACAAATATAAAGAATTGAATATTATAATAATTTACTTATTAGCCACCAATTCTTGCAAGTAACTAGTAAGTTATTATTATAAAGCATAAACATTTTGTATACTTTATCTTATACAAATACATAAGTTCTTATATTATAAAGTTGCTAAAATCCATCAGTCACCATTATTCCAAAGTCGTCTACCGAGACCCAATAATGTCATGGACGTAAAAACAATAAAACATACTTTGGTTTGTTGACTAAAAGTCGTAGATTTTAACGTTGATAAAAGTTCAAAATATACATAACCTTTATTTATAAAGAYGCGTCGCTAGAAAATTTAATAGTTTTGACACATTAAGTAGGTAAAGAAAAATCTCGTCTCACAACTCGCGTGATCCTATAATATGTATTTGAATACATTATAACTTTTAAATGTTAGGGTTTGAATCTTATTCTAGTTAATTTAATCTCAGAAGTTGATTAAATTTATTTTTAAAACATTAAAACAAGCTCTACTTAWATAATATTGATCCTGTKAATCTTAAATTATATAGTATAGGTAATACCTATTATACAGTGTCTGTTGGTCGTTTGAGGAGTAAGTTTTTTTGCAGTCAGTGAAAACACGATACAGCAGTCGAATTTTCAAGTAGCATACAATTTAAAAAAGCATATAATAGAAATATATTTTGATAGTTTTTAACTCGATACGCATTACTTACAAGTAACGTAAGTAGGTATATTTCTATGCACGTTTATACATAATTCGTTATAAATAATTCGACGTAGGTACCATTTATACTTAAAACCTATAACATTGTAGATACATCTGTACACAACAAAAAACTGTGTTTCGGGGATCTAAATCGTTATATATCGTGTTTGAAATAATATAATTTCAAGTGCGTAYGAAATAGGAAGGTAAAATCAATGTAAAAACAAAAAAAAAATCAAAACTGTCACATAAACCGCATAGTTTATACCTATTATAATAATTTATTTTGTCGGCCATATAGGCGTGTGTATAATACGTGTACTCACCGATGTCGCACACGAGTGATCCGGGTTCCAAGTCGTGCAGGAACTGCGTCACCTTCGGCCACGGTTTGGTCTTATGTGCGGGTTGATACATCTCCTGATAAGTGTCGTGCACGTAGGCCTTCTCCAACTCCAAGCTCCGGGCTAGACGGTCGGCCCTGTCCATGGCCTCGGCCCGGCTCTCCACCGAACCACGTCTGCAACCACGCGGATACCGTTATTACCATAAATCTGGTATACGTTACACAAAGGCGAACTGCCGAGAAGCGGCGGCGAACAACGACCACAACTACTACTATCTAACATTTAAAGAGTGCAGGTACATGATAATGCACGCACGCACGGTAAAAACGGCCGTCGTTTGCGCCGATCATTATTCATCCCGCCGGTGACCGGGTCACGGCGGCGTCGGTATCATGACGTCACGGGAAGCGCGTGACTTGACGTCACCACCGCCGGTCCCCTCTTCGCACGTATTGATCCCTACCTCTAGCCCGCCGTTCAGCGCACAACGGAAACCACGGAAACCCCTTCGCACGCGATCCCGCCGCCAACCCTCACGGTGTGTGTTCTAAAATACAACCCATGAAACGCTTACGTAATAATAACTTGTTACACCGTAATAAAATGTATATAATTTTAATTTACAAAACGACACGTTAAGTATGGTCATTATTGGGGCAGTGAAGTTGTTGCATTTGCATGTTTTTGTAAATGCTTATATTTATTGCTGAGTGAGCTTAAAATATGTTTCATTAAACTCTTAATTTAAACAAAAAATAAATAAATTATATTGCAATAAATGAAATTTTAGCTATTTTTTTTTTTAAATTTTACTGCAATTTTAACTACTTTTTATAATTTTCGTTTACATTTAAGATTATATAACTTAATATATAAAATATAAGTAACTAAACTTAGTAGTCAACAAATTTCTATATTTGTTGTAATACCTACCWATTATTTCCATAGAGTGATTATCGCATTTTGGTCGATAAGATAAAATCTTGTCTCTCAATAACACATACTAACGTCTATCAGCATTCAGTTATATATTTAAAAATACCGAAATTCTAACAGTAGTGGGATTGCTAGAATCATCCGCACGTTTTGGTGGCTCGTACCTTAGTCGTTCGTTATACTTTGTCGCATCTATTTTGTCCGTTAAAATGCCAAAAGTCAAACCGATTAAATCAGCCATTTAAAAAAATTWCGTATCAGAATTTGGTGATACTATATTTTCTTCTGATGGTAGTATTCTCTTTTGTAAAATATGTGAATTGCATAGTATGTGCCGATAGACGAAAATTTTGTAGAAGTAAAAAAAGTAATAAAATTATTAAATCTTTTGTCGGATTGTTCTATGGAAACCAATTTGATATTCATTCATTCCAAYTACGGTTTCATATTACCAGCAGAAATCACTAAACTCGAAACCCAACATGTTCMATTAATCGRAGCTTTATCTATAGTTAAAAACGTTGAAACTAAAATAGAAAAAATTACGGGATAAAATGGAATATTAATAAACCCTGAAATTCAAAAATATTTTACAAAAAAAATGAAGGATATCAAACAATTGTTCKTATATTAAAAATTATAAGTGGAGAAATACAGTGAATGGAGGGCTTGCCAGAAGACTTGACCAGCAACGATTTAATCTATTTCAATTACCTACGCGCAAATAACAACTACTGATGTACCTACCTAGGAAAAAGTTTCTCCCGATACAAAAATTTCTTGTACGATAACAGACGATTATTCGATTTTGAAAACTTAAAAAAAATCATTTGTAGTGCAATGCAATAATGTAAGCAATATTCATATTTAATTTTAATTATTATAATGTATTAATATATTTGATTTTATTGATTATTATTTATTTATTTTTTATTTTTTCAATGCAATTTTTAATATATTTTAATGCAATAATGCAATCAATTTAGTGTGTTTTTTAATGCAATAACTTCACTGCCTTAGTCATTATATTATTATTATATCGCTATTATCACCGTTATACGCGGATACGGAAGTTTACACTTTTTTCACGTATCCCACCGGTATAGTAGTCGCATGCGATACGATCCCATGGATTTTCACGATCAAACCGAAACGGACATGACAATATTGTTTACGTTAAGTATTATGTGGGTGCTTCAGGAAATTCGTGGCGATTCGATCGTACCTATACGTAGGTATGTGATTATAATATCGTCTGTACACCGCGATATCGACCAAGCCCAAATATGCGATAATAATAATATTGTATTTTGAGGAAAATKATCGTCACCCACGACAGTCCTTCGCATCACAACTCATACGATTGCAAAATTAGATTGATTATTATATAATATCGACTTCCAAGAACACTAATAAAAAATTTCAATATAAATATTTAAATTTTATATTTGCAATATAATACAGTAATAGTATATATTACCACRACCATAAAATAATATATTATTATGTTACTCACTTAAAGTTATAATGACGCTTTTTGTTTCATAATCATCATTATCACATCGCGATATGTTTGGATGGGTGTTGGATGACTACGTAGTTATCGCATATATATATATATATATATAATAGGTACACCCAGCTGCCGACTTACCTATACATCTTCATTTACAACCGTTTTTAAGACGCTTACACACACGCGTACGCACCCGCAATAAATCGATCATAATATAAAATATTATTTAGCTTATACAGTTTCGGTGGTTAATATCAATATTATATATCACACGAAGTAGGTACAACATTAGTCAAAATATTCCTGTTTCCTGTATGGCGATGACTGAACGGTGGTTTTTATATTGTTTAAATTGTTTTGCTTTTAAAATTTTTTTGTTTTGAAATTAATTTAAACTTAATTTTTACGACGAGTGAAAAATTAAAAAAAAAAAAAAAAAAAAAAAAAAAAAAAAAACAAAAACAAAAAATAAACAAACAAGAGAGCTCCGAGGCGAACGTCGGACGCCTCGTCTCGGGCGAATTACGGAAACAAACGGGCACCACGGCGGCGAACGTATAATATGCAGGGGAATGATAAAGAGCACATGCGCCGTATCCGTGGCGTACGGCCAGGCGCAATGATGATGTCGATCGTGCGGCGCAGAGTGTTTCGACTTTTATCGAGGTACACGCGCGTGTAAATGACCGACCGCACGCGACTCCTTTAATAACAGTAAACATCAAATTCGAAAATAATGATAACATTTTATGACTTGAAATTGTGTACTATTATTAAAACGTATCCTCATATTGTTATGTCTAAAAAATATAAATTTTATTCTCAACTTCAAATTTAAACAAATACKAATCAAACAAAATGACAATCTATTTTTCGATATTAATTGTCCATGCTTATATCAATCAATCACAAGTACAAAATATTAATATTTGAGGAGTAGTATTGTGTTAATAGATCCTCCTCTGCTGTCGGTTCTAAATCGGAAAAAGTACAAAATATTAAAACCGTGATTATTGATATAAAAATATAAATTGCAGGTCGTTGATTTGTAGGTAGTTTAATATTATATATTCAAATCACTAATATACTACGTCATCATCATTTAATTTATTTGTAATTTAAAAAAGGTGGACAAGTGGGTACCACTCGGTTGTACTGTAGGTGTTGTGTGGATCACTGTAATGGGTGTGCAAGTGTTAAATTTATATTAAACGATATAAATATCATTGTATACTAAAAATGATTTTGAGCGAAAACGGTCTGTCAGTCTGTACTGTAATAATATTTATAAACTGAAATAATCATTATTCTCTGTTCAAACATATTTTAATTCCTACCAAATTTATTACTAAAATATCTGTTAAAAATACTGTGATATAAAAATATTTAGGTTTTTTAATTGCAGTATCTATGAATGGACATGAGAAGATTTGTTTTAAATTTCCAAACCTCATCGGCTATAATACTTGAACATTTTATAAATTTTTAACTACAAAATAATTTGAAATTTTCAAGATTTTGATGAATTTTGTCAATCGTTGTCAATTGTATGTGTCTTGAATATTTCAAAAACCGCTATTAAAACAACATATGAGGAACCTTGTATTACATTTCCAAGGTATTTAAATATACGAAATGTTTTTTATCGATATATATATTATAGAAAAAAAAACTAAAACTAAATGAAAATTTTAAACATGTATAAATAGCTCAAAAAAATCAAAATATTATCATGTACATTATATAGAAAATGATAAAATAATAATCTAAGATTGTGGATAAAATAAACATTTGATGTGTCAAGTATCTGTGGTTTATCGTTTTTGAATTATTATAAAAATAATAAAATCATTATTTTATGGTCTTATACGTATAAATATTCTATGTCGTAAATATTTGAACTTCAAACGCCTATAAAAATTGATTTGACTTTTTAGAAAACTTTTTTTCTTGTTAAAAGTAGAAAAACTTATAAGGAATTCAATTTTCAAGTATTAGATATAAAAAGGAAAATGTTTATGAATTTCTAAATAAAAAATAATTTGGAAATTATCTCGATTTTGACGACTTTTGAAAAAATTAAGTGACGATGTATTTTCGATATTTTTAAATAGTAAAAACTTGTGAAAAAAACACACAAATGATTATAAAATTATTTCGTTCATACTAAATAGTTAAATACTTTTAAGAAATAGAAAGAAATTGTAATCAAGTTACAAGTGTATATATGCTATTGTATATATATACAAAAACACCATATCATTTTAAAATCAATACATTCGTCGCTTTGCTCAGAATTTAAAAAGGACTTAATGCAATTATATTGCTAATAAATTTTAAAATTATAAAATTCAAAATCTTATCCAAAATATCAGCTGTTGTATGAATTAGACATTGTGTTGAAAGATCATATCCTTGTGTCGAAAAATTGTAAATGGTGCATCTAAATTCTATTGACCCTTTCATTATTATGTTATTATTGGAACGTCGATGATATATTATAACGATTTATTTAATTGATGTTGCAGAGATTGAAAAGGCGAGATGCCCGTGAGTTGTGTTTTCTATATGTATGATTGAAATGAAATTATCGTAGAAATATGAACAAATAGAACGTACAATATACACCTAATCGAGGTAAAAATATAATATAACATAGGTAGTTTCATGTTTCGTGATGAAATCTCAAAAATCGTGAAATGAAATACTGCCGCAAACTCGTAGTGTATATTCGTCCATGCAGGTACCTAGTACCTACATGACGTGTAGCAATGTAGGTACGTACTTACATTTATTTTGCACGAACTACGTTATATTGGTTTTCYTAATGCCCAATTATTAATGATATGACCTCGCCATCGTATTGTAACTGTTCGTGTACAATATGAATTTGTTATGATAATATTATTTATTTTTTCTTTCTTTGAATTCTTAATCAAATGTAAATTATAGTTTTTAATATAATAGTTATAATAGTATAATATATTAATATAGTATATACAATTATATTATATTATAATTATTAAATCGCACTCATATCTTTGGTAGGTACCATTATTGTGGTACCGGGTGGGAGCATTGTGATAAAAAGTTCCCAACCGGTCCTAAAAAAAGTTATTTATATATATATATATGTATCTACAATAGCATAATCTACTTTCATTAAGTGAAGATTATACTTTGAATACAATGTATAAAGTTTTCACAGAAAAACTTTTTAGTAAACTGGAATCATACTTGATGAATGACGATAGTAGTTTTGTTTAATGATTATTATCACTTATTTGTATTGTATAATTGTTCTTTGAGTTTCGTAACAATATACACCTACAATAATTTTATTTTTGCAACACAGTACACAGTTAATCATTGTTATAAATTATGACATCTTAAATTTTTAAATACGAACAATTTACTGTATTTATAAGTGGATATAAATACCATTGAAATAAGGAATCAGGCTAGAGGTTTACTTTATTGTGGTTATTGATTATTAGGAAGGAAATAAATGACAAAATCACGGCTGCGGAATATAGGGTAAAGAGTTCAGGAGTGAGGATGATTTGTTTGGACCTGAGACGACGCGATGCAGTTTAACATACGAACTTGCGCAGTATTTCATTTGCAACATGCGCAGGCTCTAAACGCCGCTGCAGTATAGACAATGAAGTGACCCAAATTTGTTATCACCGGCCAATATTTCATACACCACATAAATAATATTTTTAACGAAAATGATTTATTTTACAGTATTCAAATTTGGCACTTGTTTGTTATCGCCCCGCCATATAGTTATCGTGTTTAGCTCGTGATAGATGAACTATTTTGGGAAATATTTTAGGAAATAACTACACTTTGCGGAACATTTTATGTCATACTATAAATTATAATAGGTATAATATCAAATAATATATTAGTACGTTGATGGCTTTTCTTATTATATTACTTATTTCGTTCAGACCAATATTAAATTACAATAATAAAATTAATTTTGGTGAATTACTTATGGTTGTTTTCGACAATGATACAGGAATTTTATTTTTACAAAAAAATAATGTTATTAATTCTACTGGCTACTGAGACATATTATTTTAGTAGGTTATCAATTTAAAAAAAAATCTAATATTTAGACTATTGTAATTTTTAACAGTTAGTTTAAATCAACACCCATCAAAATAAACTTACATCATTTTATTAGATGAATAGAGAGAACCACAAGTGTGTGTTGTTCTTAGCAAATCACAATATACTTTGTTTTTGTATTTTAAAATCAAATACAAATAGGTTAATAGGTACAAAATATAACAGTATTTATATGATTTAATGATAGACCCGCCAAAAGAAAAATGTTTACTTAAATAAATATCTTTTATTCCCAAACAGAATATTTTTTGAAGAATTACACTACATAAAAATTTAATTTTAACTGATATCAGTAGGTATTTAAAGTTTTGACGAGCGAAGTGTGCACCTCAGGGTTACTCTCAAAGTATTGGTCCACTTTTCCGTTCATGTATGTTTTAATTAATACTTTAAAGTTTAAAGTCTAAACTAACCAATTAAATACTTGTCCAAAATTTGATATTGAATTTGATACATCAAAATACTTCGAATAATATTCTGTACTGGAATAATAAATTATATAAATATATATTTTTKAAAAACATCAAAAGTTTATTAAATAATGCGTTTTCTACGACAAATAAATCACTGAGTATTATATATTATGTGTTTCATAATATATATATTGTAAATTTAGTAATAACTTTTTTTGGTCCTTCACTCTTACAGTCCTAATCTCAGGCCCAAACAATACTGATACGATCTGTAATAGCAGAACTGCAAAAGACGAAATGATCGATTGAGATAAACAAGATTGTAGACTTAATAGTAAACATAATACATGTATAGTATGACAAGTGATAAGAATGATGTAGATTGGTTTTGACCGCGGTGTAGACGTTATATAGTTAAAATGTTTAAGCTGATTTAAATTTGAACGAGTAAAATATTATGTACTTACCTGCTTTCAGTGAAACTTCAATAATATAATATCATGAACTTCCGTTTAATGCAATTTTCTGTATAATGAAACATTTTCGAGAACCACAACCAAATTAGAATTAAATTTATTTAATTATAACATTTTAATGAACACGTAATTTATTTTGAATGTTATGGAAGCATTGGAAGACGGAATAGTCACTATATATTAATGTATTACCTAGAGTTTTATTGTAGCTCGTTTTTCATACAGTGTTTAGTAAATTTCGCGTATGTTCCGTAATAACTAAATAACTTACTAGTAGATTATTGATTTTCGTCTCGAAACGAGTATTTAATAGTATGTGGGATGACGTTATAAACGTCACTGTGGGATATATTATATATATATTGACA